AATCAATAGATCAATCAATCACTATGCCTAACTGAAATGGCATTAGTAGATACTTTCAAGCAGCTGTTTTTATGTTTAAGGACTTAAAGGAAAATAAAAAAGCAACATTTTCCACTCTTAGTTGGGTGCTTCTCTTGAGGAAATTTAATTACTGATACTTCTAGCCTGCTGTTGACATGCTGAATACATGCCTACATCCAGGAAGAAAAGAACAACCAGATAGTCATATGTGCTTGCAGTAATGCATTAGCAGCATATGGGGGAAGACTAGTAGGTGCCAAGAGAAAAGGGGTTGGGAATGGATAACTTTTGCTTGATCATCTTCAAGCTGGGATTGATGTTGTACATGTGTTGAGTCCATTTGAGCTTCTATAATAAAATAAATACCTGTGTTAATCAGCTTTTCATCACAGTGACAAAGATATCTGACAAGAACAACTTAGAGAAGGAAAATTTTATTTGACTCACAGTTTAAAAAGTCTCAATCCTTGGTCATCCAACTCCATTGTTCTGGGCTTGATGTGAGGCAGAACATCATGGTAGAAGGACAAGCAGAGAGAAGCTGCCAAGCTCATGGCAGCCAAGAAGCAAAGGGTTGGGGGAGGGGTATGCAAATAGAACCAAGAGCAAGGGACAAGATATAATCCTTAAGGTCATACCTCTAGTGATCTACTTCCTCCAGCCATGCCACATCTGCCAATAGTTACCACCCAGTAATCCATTCATTTATTCTATCAAATGGATTTCTTATTACTTTTCTCTATCATCCTAACCACATTGGCTTTTTTGTGCTTTCTAGAACATCCTGAACACATTCGTAGTTCAGATCACAGGTACGAATTGTCCACTCTTCCATAACCTTTCCTCCACATATACATATAGATTCCTCCTTTGTGTAACTCACAGGTCTCTTCAGATATCACTTACTCAGTAGTGAGTATGCTACTTAAAATTCTGGCCTCTTATTAGAGTAAAATCACACTTCTTTTTCCTTAGCCTGACTTACTTTTTTCATGTATTTGCTTATGTGGATTTTTATTATCTTTCCCTGAATATAAACCCTCATGATAAGGACTTTATTTCTAATTCTTGGTGTGTCCCCAATATTTGGAAAAATAATTTATCCTCAATGAATATTTGTTCAATCATTTATATACAGTACTTTGAGCCATCACTGGTTATCATGAATTATGTGATTAAGATCCTGCTGCTCTCTGTTTAGCCTACTAGAATTTTTTAACATATGATACTTGGCAGCTTTGTATCTTGAAATCCAAATGTAAGCAATGCTTTTTATTATTACTTAACCTTTCTTCCATATCCTCAAAATATGAAGATAACACAAAAAAGAGATATGTCAACCTTTATTTACTTATAAATACAGACACAAATTCAGCAATAAAATGTTGACAAATCAAAAAATTACTGATAAAAATTGGGAAACAGAACAAGACTCATAAATTGGGTTCCATAAAAAAGAAAAACCTTTTGTATGACAACATACATGCTAAAGAAAAATTTCCAAAAGCACAACAAGTAGAGCACTTGGCTAGCATGCATGAGGCTGAGTTTGATCCCCAATACCCTGCCCTCCACACAAAAGCTTTCCAAAGTCTAAATAGATGTTTCTTATGAAAATAACCATGAAATAATTTATAGAATACATGAAACAGTCCTTCCAATGATTTAAGAACAAGCCAACCAACTGGTATTGAATGAGAGAGAATACAACAATAGATATTTGAGAGAAGAGGATATCCCTCAGAGGCCAGTCTCTTACGAAGGGACTTTGTCTTGATCATGTAAATCTAAGT